CAAAAAATCCATAAAATTTTGTATATTTTCGTTTTCGTTTTATGCTAATTTGTGCGCGTTCGACGTCTCTGCTCTTCTCTCTCTTCCCATACACACATACACGCATACACATACACATATAAAAAAAAAAAAAAACAAACAATTCCTCATGAACTGTACAAAATACGCAAATCGTACTCAAAACAAAAATTGCTCTCTTCATGCGCTGCGCTCGCTGTGGAATGTATATAAATATATATACGCCATCTATCGATTTGAACATGCATCTGTATTCAAATTCGATTTCTCGCTATCGATATCGAACACACACACAACTACAATGCAGACGCTTCAAGATGTTTGCCAATCAGCTGCCAGCGCCCAAACAGAAACTAACACACACACACGCCCCYCTCAGCAGCCAGCGACGGCAGCAGCAGTAACAGCAGCGACAGCAAACGGAATCATGAGTCATTAAGTGGGCTGCTGGTAGGGGGCGCCACCCACAACAATTTGGAAACTTGAACGAAATTCTTTCTGCAACATTATAAACATTAATCATTGCACAAGCATAAGGCCAACATTATTCCAAAACATTTAAAACTTTGTAAAACTTGTAGATGCAATTGGAGAGTCAACTGTGGCCAGCATCAATTGATACACATACATATGTATATCTGTTTTGTATGTATGTGTGAAGCTGTTATGTAGTATATGAACTAGAAGGAACTTTCTAGCCTTTTGCAAAAGTAAATGTGGTTTAGCTTTACCTCAAAAAATAAATGGTAAATGAATGAATTCTAATTTTCAGCTTGAATTTTCTAGAAACCCTATTTTAATTATCTGCATATCCATTCATATATACATACTATATCTTGCTCTCCATAGCATCTGCAGGTTCTTTACCCTTAATAAATAATATTTGTCTAGAAGGATGTCTGTTTTATATCATGTCTAATTTATCCAATAAAGTTTTTTATTACTCGTCAAATCAAGCATCAAAAGTTGTTTCTTAGAATATTAATTAGAGCAGTGCCAAAGCCATGTAGAAGTAGTTTTATAATTTGTAGGTCTATTTTGTATTTCGTAGTCTCTAGAGATTATAGCTAAGCTATTTCTACTATATCCAAATATTTATCTATAAAACTTAACATTAATCACAAAACATTTCTGCTCCAAACAAAAAAAACAACAACAACAAAAACACTTTGTTATTGGCATTTAGGTGATGGTCCTCAATGTTTCCTCGTTGCTGAAGACCGTCAAAGCTGTGGAGGATGAGCACACGCGCGGCACCCGCGCCATGGAAGCCACCGTGGAGGCCATCTCCCAGGAGATGCGCGTAAGTAACATCAGAGGCTGGTAAAAAAAAAACTGTCATTAAGCTCGAATTTTCGTTATAAATAGGCCATGCAGACACCTCCGCCAGTGGGCAGCGCCCAGGTGGGACCCGAGGACCTGATACGCGTCACCATGAACGTGACTGCGGCCACGGCAAAGGCTGTTGCCGCCGGCACCTCCAATCTGCAGGCGGATATCGTGGCTGCCGCCAATCTGGGTCGTCGTGCCATATCAGACATGTTGATCGTCTGCCGCTCCGTCGCCTGGAACTGTGCCGAGACGGATGAGCTGCGCGTGCGCACCCTGGAGGCGGGCAGTTCCGTGGCCGAGTCCTATCGGGAGCTGTTGAATGGCATTCTGCACAACTGCAGCGCCGACGATCGCATGCATTTGTCGCGTCGCGTGGCCAAGTGTGTCACAGATCTGGTGGCCATGGCCCGTTTGCTGAAGGGCTCCGATTGGATCGATCCAGAGGATCCCACGGTCATAGCTGAGAATGAGCTGCTCGGCGCCGCAGCCTCCATTGATGCAGCTGCCAAGAAGTTGGCATCGCTGCGGCCACGTCGTCAGGCGGATGTTAAGGTGAGTCTCCCATGATCTCTATACGGCTTATAACGGCATATCACTCTACTTTTAATGGTGAATGTGCTATGGTGAATTGAAACTAACTGAACTACCGCTCGCTCGTCTCCACAATCAGCTGTCATCTGTTTAACCAGCCACCAAAATCAACCAAACTACCTATCCACTACCTCATCTAACGATTCCAGTGAGATATGTTTGATATTCTTGGTTGTTACATTCAAAAGTTCACCCAGGAATCAAACATATTATTACTGTGATCGCTTAAACTCTACTAAAACGAAACCAAATCAAATTCAAATAACTGAACTAAAACTCAAATGGTGTTTGCTTATCTATAATGCTAATATAGCTAGTTTCCAATTGGATTCCAATAAGACTGTATTTCCTGAGCTAACTCACTTCATACCTATTCACAGATCGAGCTGGATGAGAACATGAAGTTCGACGAGATGATTCTGGAGGCTGCCAAAGGCATCATGGGCGCTTCGGCTGCCCTGGTGCGTGCTGCCAATGCGGCGCAGCGCGAGCTGATTGACCAGGGCAAGGTGGCTCGACGTCCACTCACGAGCTCCGACGACGGGCAGTGGTCGGAGGGTCTCATCTCAGCCGCTCGCCTGGTGGCTGCAGCCACGCACAGCTTGGTTGAGGCTGCGCAGAATCTGGTGCGCGGTGTGGGCACGGAGGAGATGCTGATCTCCACGGCCAAGCAGGTGGCTGCCTCGACTGCACAATTGCTAATTGCCTGCAAGGTCAAATCGAATCCCAATTCGGAGGCGGGTCGCCGTCTGCAGGCTGCGGGCAATGCCGTTATCAAGTCCACGGACAATTTGGTGCACGCTGCACAGCAGGGCCTGGAGGCCGAGGAGGAGCATTCGCTGAAGATCAACACATCGATGGTGGATGGCATGGCGCAGGAGATTAATGCCCGCTCCGCTGTGCTGCGCAAGGAGAAAGAGCTGGAGGAGGCGCGCCAGCGCCTCAAGCATGTGCGACAGGCGCAGCGCTATGCCAAAAATACCCAGGGCTTCACCACAGACGAGAGCGACACGGAATATGCCTATGGCACGCTCAACAGGAGCCAGAACAATGTATGAACAGGTTTCCATTTCCCACTTGAACTTAGATTTTAGACTTTAGACTGCACCAATGAATTGGCATTGTTGAGACTCTCACGTGGTGTCGGTGTAGTTGTAGTTGTAACGGAATCTAACCCTAATCTCTCTAACCAACCAAATGTCTCTTTCTCTTGCTAACCCTTAACAGACTCTGGGTCGTGGAGGAGGTGCTTACTATGGCTCGCAGTCGGGCGATCTGCCCAGCTCGCCGAGCTACTACACGGGCTCGGGCGCGGGCAGTCAGCAGAAGCATCATTATAACTATGCCAGCCCGCAGCCCCAGCATTTCCATCATCCGGGCGCCGTGTCGCCGCCGCCATCCAATTATGCGGTCATGGATGATGTCAATGGAGACTTTCCGCCACCGCCGCCGCCGTTGTCGACGACMATTTCTAATATGCAGACCGCGACGTCGACTCACAGTTTTCGCTCTAATCCCAAACTAACAGCCAATGCTGTGCCCCGACCCTACCCAGGCAGTCCAGTGGGCGGCGCGGGCAGCAATGGCTTCACAACCATATCCGCAAGCACACCCACTAACGCCAACAACTACCAGCAAAGCTTTGAATCGTCCAGCATTAAAACGCAAAACTCATCCACATCGGGCGCGCCCCCAACTGTGCCACCACCGCCACCACAGAAGCCCACCGGCAATCGCAATCTGGAGGCCTGTGTACAGGATCTGCATGACAAAACGTTCGGCCAGGGCGGCGTGGTGGAGATAACTGGCGGCAATGCCTATCCCGGCCAGAACTACGAGGGCTACACATCCAGGTGAGTCCACATTCAGATGTGGAGTGCTCAAATGCTAACATTTAGCCATGCTCTTCAGCAGATACGAGACACGCAACTTCGACAAGACAGCCAACACCAGCAGCAACAGCGAATCGGGCCTGGTGAAGCCGCTCGAGTCGAGCTTTTCGCAGATGACGCTCAACACGGACGGCGGCAAGATCAGCATTGTGGATCAGGGCTCCGAGCGGCTCACCTCAATGACGCAGCGCGTCATGGAGCGCAAATCGTTTACAACCACAACAGAATCGCGGTCCGAAACGAAAACGGAGAAGCACAGCTTTCGCCTGGAGTAGATAACCTGAGCTCGATCAGCAGGAGCAGCAGCTGCGATTGAAACTAAACGATAATTTTTGCCAAATGTGCTTTTAACATTTACATACATACTAATAGCAATAATTTAACAATTAATTATAATTAGCCACTAGCGTTAAAATGTCTATATATATAAACACACAAACACACGCACACACACACACACATATACCCTATATACACACGGTTTGGACTTCTTTTCATAATTTCCATTTATGCGTTTCTTGTGTATATTTGTTGTGCTTATTTATCTGCCATTTATATTGCCAATTGTTTATACACACTCACACACTCAGACACACTCTTTCCAAATATCCGTCGAATCTATATTACATACAATTCTTTATACTAATCATAACGCAACGAAATTACCTTTAATCTGTAACCAGAACGAAATGCAAATTGAGTTCAACGATTTACGTGTTAGTTCAATGCAATTTATTACTGTGCACCTAAAAACAAACAGCTATATACTATAAACCATGTAATCGAGTAATCTATATATAACGCGATTTTAGTTAATTCAAATGTTGTTCACATAACGTTTAGTTCGTAAACCATCTATGTATGTAATAATTGTTCTATGTTCTGCTATAAAAACAAAACAGAGTCTTCTATGCTCTCATCATTTCGTTTTTTGTATATACGAGTACATATGTATATGTGAGCCGTCGTGTATACGTAATTGCATATTTTATAATTGTGTATGTTTTGTAAATTAATAAAAAATAAAAAACAATATTTTAACAATATATGAACGAATGATTTATTGGGGTTAGAGTTTGGCCATAAGCGAATTCAACTGCCGTTGAGTTATTTGCATATATCAATATATAGACAATACCTCTATTAAATAAAACAATCCAAATATTTAGCATCAATATTCACAATCCATCAATTATTCCACATACAATATCTACAATTTTTGTACAACAAATTTCTACAAAATATAAATGCAACAAATAGTCTTTCCGTTAAGATGGTCCTCTAGACAAACCTCCACCAATTACTTGTACTCCTGGTTCAATTGACGACCAATCAGCCAACGTCTGATCTCCGAGGTGCCAGCTCCAATCTCATAAAGCTTTGCATCCCGCAAAATGCGTCCAGTTGGATTGTCATTGATGTAGCCATTGCCGCCCAGAATCTGAATGGCGTCCAAGGCAACCTGTGTTGCTTTCTCGGCGCTGTACAGGATGACGCCGGCGCAGTCCTTGCTGCTGCGAATGCCCGCATCGCAGGCTCGGGCCACTGAATACAAATAGCTGCGGCAGGCGCCCAGAGTCGTGTACATATCTGCCATCTTGCCCTGCAGCAGCTGGAACTCGCCAATTAGCTTGCCCATTTGCTTGCGCTGATGGGCATAGTCGAAGGAGACATCGCAGGCGGCCTGCATGAGGCCCACTGGTCCGGCAGCTAGAACCAAGCGCTCGAAATCCAGACCCGACATCAGGACGTAAACGCCTTTGTTCTCCTGTCCCAGTATGTTCTTTGCCGGCACTTTGAGATCCTGAAAGACGAGCTCGCAGGTGCTGCTGCCACGCATGCCTAGTTTGTCCAGTTTCTGGGCTACACTAAAGCCTTCCCAGCCTGTCTCTATGATGAAGGCTGTGATTGCGTGCCTGTCTGGAACACCGCTTGCTCCAGTCTTAGCATACACGATCAGAGTTTCGGCATCTGAGCCATTGGTAATCCAGAATTTGCTGCCGTTTAGTACATAATAGTCGCCTTTGCGTTCCGCGCGCAGCTTCATGGAGACGACATCCGAGCCGGCTCCAGGCTCTGACATAGCCAGACCGCCAATATGTTCGCCAGTGCACAGCTTGGGCAAATATTTTTCCTTCTGTTCCGGCGTGCCGTTCTTGGTCAACTGATTGATGCATAGATTGGAATGTGCTCCGTAGGAAAGTGCTACGCCTCCAGCAGCTCTGTAAAAAGTGAGAAGTGAACAGTAATGACTGTAGTTCTTAAGCAACATCCTAATCTTAGTTGCCTTGAAATCTCTTCCATAATGATGCAGTGATCCAAATAGGTGCCGCCAGTACCACCATACTCCGGCTCTGCCGTGATGCCTAGGAAACCAAGCTCGCCCATCTTCTTCCAGAATGAGCGTAGATCTCTATTTAAAACAGGAATAAGTAAAGTGGACTTTGTATGTCTTCAGCCTGACTCACTTGAAACTATCTAGCTTATCGATCTCCTTGGCATATGGTGCCAATTCTTTTTGAAAGAAATTGAAAGCAATTTCACGCAACTTCCGTTGCTCCTCATTGAGGCCAAACATGGCGTCATTTATGGGGTAATGTGTTAATGTGCGTATCCATGGCGCGGCAATCTGCAGACGGCGTCCGCTATGTTGCAGCAACGTTTGGGCCACGAAACGTAAAGTCATTTCAGGGAGAATGTAAAAGAATGTAACAAGTGTTACCTAACCTTTGATCAGCTGTGTGGTGGAGGGCTGCCTACAATGGCGCAACAGGTGGCAACGCTAGCCTGATCGCATTCCCATTTAAAACGAACTATCGATTAGCCAACTATCGAATTTGAATATATTGAACATGAATTCAATCATATTATAGAAACAGAAAACGAAACCCGCTATTATTTAAATATAATTTGAATTTAACTTTTCCGTTACTTATCATGTACAGCAACCAAGTGGAGAAATGCGCATGTCTCTACAATGGCGAACGTTTCGCTTCGGCAGTGCATTGAGGTTTGCTGCTTTGCCGCACGCCGACCGCATCCTGGCGACGAAAAATGCCGACATCAACAAGAGCAACAACAATAACAGCAACAACAACAACAATTGGAATGAGGACGCAACGCAGCGATAAACAAAAACAGTGCTACGGGCTCCTGTAATGGGAATTAAAAAAGTAAAATACCCAGACAGACCCATCAAATCAGTCCTGTTGTTGCCGCTCGTACGCGCGGAGCGTGTCCTTGGGTGTAAAAGGATTTTGATTGCTATCAAATCCATAAATATATCTATATATAAGTGAATATTTGTTATTAGTGCCTCTCTCTCTGTCTGTACGTTAAATGTGGATGCAAATTGAAGCTGCTGCGTCTTGGAGTGCTATACAATCAATAAGTGAGATTCAAATACGTATTTGATGGAATATGCATAAAACCATTTTTATACAATTCGGCAGGGCAAATCGATAAATGCCTCTTTAAATGGTTATAGTGTAATGGAATTTAATGAACACATATATACACCCATCCGCGCACGCACGTGTGTGTGCGCTTCGATTAACGCTCTGACCATCCGCACCCCAACCATTGCATGCCACTGAGCTGCTGCTCCACAACTACTATATCCTGTCAATCAACTCGACTTGGAAGCCGTTTGTATTGTAGGTACTTCTACGACTCCCACTACAGCTGCTCGTTTACAATGACTCTGTCTGTGTAGATGTATTTATGTGTGTGTGTGTGTTTGTGTGTTACTTTTTATACTATTTTCGTGTGTCACGTTCCATCGACAGGAACTATTGTTACCCAGTTTTTGTTGTTGTTGTTGTTGTTGTTGTTAAGCACGCTTTTGTATTTGTTGTTGCCATGTCGCTGTAATTACAGTCTTAACGCCCACTCATACAATCATCCACACGCACCCCATCAAAGGTCAAATATCAATGTTCGCAACTCGATTTATGATAAGCGACCGATAGAGCTGCCATATACTTAATATTCGATTAATTCTAGTTTTAATGACATTTTGGGCCCAAGCACAAGTTTCCATAAAATTGCAATTGGAGCTGGACTGGGGGAGCGGCCTACGGGTCGTATGCGTAATCAGCGCTTAATTATGTGCGGCAAGCCCAGGCAGTTGGCAGTCCAACACCTCGGCTGGCTGGCAGCTAGTGCTCTTTGGGCAGACACTTAAATGCCGGCTAGCTATAAACAGATCACATCTCACTGTCAGTGCCGTGTGCTGCAGCATTCTTGAGATGTTTCCTTGGCGCGCTGCTTAATGCCAAGTGGAATGAACTTGATGAGCAGCAGCAGCAAGAATAWACAACTTGGTCTGCCTACAGCCTGAAGACTGCAGCCTGTTGTCGGCTGACTGGCGACTGCCGACTGCTGCTACTTGAGCGCATACAAAGGGCATTTGATGAGGCAGGCAATTGAACTCTGCCAGCAAACATGTCTGACATGCAAAACATGCAACGCTCAGAACTTGAACTTGTCGAGTGCCATCATAATCAGCAACTAGTGTATAAAAAACTTTTGATGAACTTTTGTTTTAGAAAACATAGCCAAGGCAAGCAGCAGCTACAGAGACAATGTCTGCTGTCTGTATATGTCTATGTATATGTATATATATGTAAGCTTTATGTGATAAGCAATGCAATGGATCTCCAAAATAAAAACTAAAATAGCGAATTGCGCACACGACTGGGACAACAAAATAAAAGGCAATTATATATGTAGACGGGCTAGCTAAGCTAAACACACACATATATACATATTCTTCAATAGGTGTGTGTGTGTGTCCAAAGAGCGTGTGACCCAGCCAGAGTGACAGTCCAAAAAGTAAAAGCTCTCGTTGCCAGTGTGCCGCCCATTCAGTCACTCAGCCAGCCAGCCAGCCATTTAGCCATTAGTCGCGCTCGGCACGGCAAACGATCGACGACAATCGACGACGGCAGATAGCTAACGACAACGCATGGACGCGACGGTTTACCGTGCGCGATTTTCATTCAATTTTCAACTCGATCGAGTTCTAAATACTCTACAGCAGCAACAACAGCAACAAATACAATACAAAACGAAAAACCTTTAAGCAAACGACACCGGGTGCCCCGCCGAAGGCCGGTTTCCAAATATAGTTGACGACGAGCAGCCGCGGCAGCGACAACAATTGCCTGATAAAACTATACCAAAAAAAGTTAGTAAAGAAAAGCAAATATTAAAAAAAATATATATTTATATTAAAACTCGTGCAAGTTAGACATAAAAAGGTTGAAAAAAGAAATATGAAAACCTATAAAGTTTTTTTTGATGAAATGAAAAATCTTTGCCGAAACGAAAGTAAAAAGTGCCACAAGTGTTTATTTGCCTGTGTGTGTGTGAGTGAGTGTGACAAAAATTAAATCACCGCATTAAAAATAACTTGAGAAAATCTTAATTTTCAATACATATATAWATATCTATATATGCAGATATAAGTAGATGTATATACATACATATACATATATATTCTGCGCCAAGTAATCAAAGCGACAAAAAACGCGGCGGGTGTATGACTATCTCTCTGTGTGTGTATGTGTGTGTGTTAGCTTGCCAAATGTCACTTGTGGCCACTGTGCGTCATTCAGTGCATATGTCTGTGTGTGTGTCGGACTATAAAACATATATATTAATTATATAAAANTTAAAAAAAAAAAAAAAAAAAATTAAAGTAAAAAAAACGTAAAGAAAATTAAGAAAAATCTTGTTAATAATTGATTATAAGGCACTCATCTAATTAAACTAATACACAGCCTGAGAGCTTTTGGCTCAACTGTTGAGTGCTCGGGCAAAGAAGTTGGCGTGTCCTGGCTAGAGAAACAAACCGCAAATGCGACAAGAAGAGCGCACACATCTTGTGCTCTCAGCAAAAGGCTAAGGTAAATTTATAGGCATTGAGTCAGGAATTGCAGCTTCCGGTTGCCACAACAACAGCAACAGTAACAACAACAACAACAACACACACGCTGCTGGCTATGGCATCCAGACATGGTAAACTTAGAGCTAGAGATACCCAAGCCAGAACTTCATTTGAACGGCGCAGCGGAACTTTAGAGAACTTTGCCTTCAACGACGACAAGATAAAATATAAATAGCTTGAATTGTTGGGGAGGATGTTGTGCTTGACTATGTATGTATATATATATGTGTAATGTATATAGATATATATATGTGTGTGTCGCTGGATTGTTGCGGAAGTGCCACTGATAGCCGTCACATGCTGAAGATTTACTTATTAATGCCAGCCTGAATGGCATCCTGGCAAAAGCGACACACAGACAGACAGACAGGGTGACGGGACTGGGAGCGGGGTTGGCTGGGGCGGCTCGGGTATTACCACCCGCTGCGTTACTTTGTTTTGTTTTGAAGTTTTGTTTGGCAAGGGTGCGCACGGGCCACGCTCGCCTCCTTGTCAGCTTCCTTCTTGAGCTGGTTTTTCGGGGCTCCCCATTGACTGGCGACACCCTGAGCGCTGTGTGGCAACATAATTTGTGAGCTGGCAGGGGCCCATGCAGATCGGGGGCTGTTGCTCTTTGCTTTTAGTGACTGTGACAGTTTTATGCGATTTATGCCATGGTAAATTAAAAATTACGCGTGCTGCCTGTCGCCTAATGCCCGAGCACAGCTCGCAGAGGTTGGAGGTGGCAACCGAGATAATAAAGTAAATTGGGGTAATACTGGCATAACACTGCCAGCACTTAGAGAGACAGTGAGCGAGAGAGGGAGGGGGAGCTGGAGAGCGAGAGAGAGATAGGCTGCGTGGCCCAAGTGCCGCCAATCTGTGCTGTGTAATAGTTTTTATCGTTATGATATATGGCCCGAATACTTGGTGTTTCAAGGGCTGGAAATCTGTTTAAATAATGCACTGAATTTTCAGATGTTTAAAGGAGACTTATACTATAAGATATATGTATATAAATATATAATAATTTGCGCGCGTGTATTTTGTAGCTGAAGTAAAAGTCGAGTCAACCGAATCAAGCCACAAAATGGAATCAAACGGCAACGGCAACGGCCATGGCAAACGCAACAAGAAAGGACGCAAAGCGCGCAATGCAGCATCACACACCACACAGCATCATCCGTGGGACGAAGGTAGGCAGCGCGCCCGACTTTGGGGCCAATCCACATGATTAGTTGGCAGACGTTGCGTATACGCCGCATGGGCGACAGCCTTCGGTGCGAGTAATGCTGCCTTTGCTGCTCTCGCCTCTGAATCTATATATCGCTCTATATATATATATATATATAGCACATTACTTATTATGTGGCTGCCACGCCTCCTCCCCCTGCTCGTCGTCGTCGCCGCCCTAATGCTCAGCTGTGCTCAACTTGAACAGCTGCCAAAATATGTCAGTCGCTAGTTGGCGCCGCAAATGCAGCGCATCTTCTTCAATATTTTCAGCAATATCTAACGAGAACTGTAAATCATCTTTAACCACAGTAAAAACAGTATTTGTATAGGGTACACATAACACATCCACATACATATATATGTGTGTATTTACACATGGACTGCAACAAAGTTGCTTATTGTTTTAGCATCTGAAGCGAGAGATCTGTGATTATAAAACAAATAAAGTTTTTACTGTCGGGCGTAGCCGACTAAAGATGCTTCGCTTGATTTATAGAAAGCAGAAGATTTTTTACTATTTGACATGACTCTAGGTCTACAGTTCTATCTATCGTTAAGTGGGCCATATTTAAACGTAGTAGACTAAGTAAAATTTTATAGCTATACAGCTCTAGAGTAGGATTGTAAAATGTTCATATACTAGCTGTAGAGGTTTTAGCCCATACGCCCCATTGGGCGTGGCTACTTATGTAATCTGCTGTAATCTATTCTAATATACCTTTCAAAATGCAAGCCTCATGTCATCAATAATGACGTCAATAATATAATTTATACTGTAAAATATATAATCATCTGCAATTTGCCACGAACCCCACAGTATCTATGTATATAAACATATATAATCAAAAGGAATTATGGAATGTAGTTAAATGTATATCTATATGTATTCTAAAAATGGCTTCTAAAAGAAACAGTTTCCATATATTAAGTGTATCATAAAAATTAAAATCAATTTTCTAACTATTATTTTACTTCTTTCATTCTTCCACTCAAGAGTCTTTGCTTTCCTTCTACTTTTATCATTCTTCCCCTCAATATTCTTGCCTGAGCAACTGCATTCCTATTCAGCTATTCCAACTGCACACAGTATTAACAGTTAGAGCCCTAATAATTTCTCATTATAGCGCCCATATTTTAGAGTTATCTTTAGAGCATGCATACGATTTGGCTTTCAGGTTTTGTTTGAGCTGCTGGCAGCTGCTCTGCACCCAGGGGCGTGTTTCACGCTGTGTGAACTAACAAACGGGTTTTTCTCACTATTTGCCGTTACATCAATCAAAATGCAAATGAGCCAGAGAAAAGCAAAAGAAGAGGAAACAGAAGAAGCAGAGGCTGCGGCAGCCGCTGTGATATATGTATTGTATATGGCTGGGCATTAGCTAAACGAAAGTGAAATGCAGCTGCCCGAGAAGCAAGTGGCAGATGCCACAAGCTCGCCGCACTGATAACAAAGCATTTCCCATTTCAATTTAGGTACTTGAATAGCGCAGATTCATGCTGATTGCCACTTGAAGCAAAGAGATAAGAAGTCAGCTGTTTGCATACATAGGTATATGAATATATATAGTATATATCTGAGTTCTATTCTATTGCATGACTTCATTTACGAGTCCAGTCCAAGTTCAGGCTGCACACTGGAAGTACAGCACGTAGACCAGCCCATTAGTAGCCAGGCATATGATCAGTTTCAGACTTATCTTATCAGCCGAATGGCTTTGTCTTGCGGCGATAAGGCTTGTCTGGGAGTACAATTAACATTTTATGATTGCGCAATATTTTTGGGGTATTTATGACAGCGGGAATGTCGCACAAAACTATGTGACAGGGTTCAAAATGCTTTAAGCTAGGCAGCAGAAATGATAAATCAGTCGGGCATAAATATATCTATTATATATGTGTGTCTGTGAAGAGTTTGCAGGTGAAACTTCATTATCAAGTCATAGATATATATGTACTATATATCTACATATGTCTCCGCTGCTTCTTCTGTTTGAGATTCACATATCTTATTACTTATGTGCCGAAGCTAATTCAGCGCTAACAAAATGTGCTAAAATGAACGAACCAACGCAATGCTACTAATCAATCATGCTCTTCGCTGATTAGCATACTCTCGCACTGAAGCTCGAATGAGTCAGCGTCTCCATGGCACAACTTGGCCGAGATGCCAGGCAACAGCAGTTCAACTACGTCTAATGGAAATTTGATTGATTTGCAATTAGCAACAGTTGCCGCAGCAGCAGCAGCAGCAGCAGCAGCATCACATGAGTTCAGGCCAAAAATTCTAATCACAAGCATTGACCTAATTGCAGGCAACACAGCAGCAGCAGCAGCAGCAACATCTGTAGCAGCAGCAGCAGCAGCATCTGCAACAACAACAGTAAATCGCACTGCGTGCACCGGCACCGCTTTGACGCGATTTCTGGTTTGCATGGCACCTGTATTTGGTAATGCACCTTACCTTACCTTTTGGCCCATTTCCATTCTGTGGACGTTTTCATTCATGAAGCTCAGACTTTCAGCCAACCAAACCAAACCAAACCATCAACAAGAACATAAAGAAAACATTTTTATCGGTGTCTTGTCATTGAATGCATTATATATAGTTGAATATCCGTTCCAATACCTGCATATATATGTATCTAGATAGATATATATTTGTGTACACATATCATTTATTTATACACATTCAGCGTGTGTTTTTGTCTTGCGTTTTTGCCAGTCTTCAGCGTAATTCTCATCTACATATGTGCGGCATACGGAGCGTATACGTTATATATATCTGTATATGTTTTGTATATTTCCTTTATTTTTTTTTTTTTTGTGTGCTTGTTTGATTTTTGATTCTATTTTGTCTTGTGTTCTCTGCTCCCACGTCTAGTTTCTCTCTCTGTATGTGTGTGTGTGTGTGTGGTTTGTCGTTGTCGTCTGTCAATTGTCGTCGCGTGTTTTGGAGGCAATCGTCAAATATGACGTAAAGGAAATTTATTTAAGTGTGTGCGTGAGTGTGTGACTGTGTGTGTGTGCTTGCCCTGAACTATATTTATAGGCATATAAATTTAAAATGCCAACCAGTCCAGTCAAGGTCATTGTTTACTCAAATATGCGCTTTGGGTAATCATGCCAAAGCTGAACCCCAAACCATTTATTAAAATGCACTTCAAATTGATTTGAGCCCAAGTAAAATGAACAACAATAATTACAATAATTAGGGTGTCTAAAAGAGACACAGAAACACACACACACACACACAGCAATTGCAGTCGGGCACTTGCAATCTGTGTCACAGATTTATTTTCAAACAATTCGCTGGCTCGCAGCATAACGCATACGCAATGTGTGCCAGCCGAAAATTGTTGACTTCTGGCAACAACTGCTGGCTATGGCATATAAATTATATGTAATTAATATTGGGCATCCGCTATTTGGAAGTCTTGCTGCTTAAATGATTCTGAGCACATATTTAGAGAGAGAATGAAAGCTAGCTAAGGGCGACCTTGGCTATTGCTTTGATCCGCAATGCAAATTTCGTTCAGCTTGGCCTGCTTTACCATTGTGTGCGTAAGTGTGTGTGTGTGTGGAGGGAAAGGGGTTGCACATACGCTCTTCAGTGAGAGCAGCTCGTCTACGTTAATGACAACGTCAAACGTGAAAAGTCGCCGTCGCTGTCGCCGTCGCAATGATTGTCGTTGCTTTGCTTTGCTTTGCGTAGTATTCCAAGCGCGATTAGACGTCGAACATGTGAAGCTCGAGAGACGCCTCTCGATTTTATTATTTCCAACTTTTTTTGTTATATTTTATTTAGTTTTGTTTTTAACATTTTAATTTACAATTATTTATTTATTTAACTTGATTATGGTWTACGTCTTTCTAAGCGTGGCTGGCTATTACGGTGAGTAGAGGTTGCCCGGCATGGCCCGGACCGGTCCGGCCTGGCCCGGCTTGCCATCGATTCGCGTGCTTTGTTATGCAATGCGAAAAAGTTCAGCGTACGGCGAATTAATCAAATAAGTGGACAAACTGTAATTGTGTAGCGTTTCTATTTTAGTTTTGTTGTTGTGCATTGTATTCGTGTGTAATTGAAGTGCGACTGCGAGTGTGCGCCTATATTTAGCTCAAGCTTCAGCTTGGCGCTATTAAACGCACGTGTTAAGTATACGCCACGTTCAACGTCCAGTTCAAAGAGCCCTTGAACTTGCATGCAAAGACCAAAATTGTCAATTTTCATGTACGGGAATTTGAGTTGGGTATCTTATTATGGGAAAAGGCAAAAGCCAAACCAGTCAACATATATGTATGTACACATGTGTGTGTGGCGACCATGCAAGCCAAGCATGTCAGTTACGCTCGAATTGTGTTGAAAACTTACACAGCTATGAGATATGGCTACGTATATAGACATAGACTTTGATATAAGTACAGCAGAGGTTGGCTAAGTGGGCAACGTAAGATTGTAAATTTAAAATATTTATATTTAGCTCTTAAGTCAGTTTCAAGATGATATCATGGCGCTCCTTTAGATTTTCAGACAAGTCATCAGCAGTGCATAATATTTTGCTAATATATCTGGGGATAGATAATATTGAGCCAATCAGCTAGGCAAAAGCAATTTAATTACTCACTCTCTACGTCATTGTGGCACACATACATACACACTGAGAGAGAGAGAGAGAGAGAGAGAGAGAGAGAGAGAGAGAGAGAGAGAGAGAGAGAGAGGGATAGAGAGAGCGAGCGCAATAACAAAACAAACAGCAACCAAAATCTGAAAGGCGTAACGAAACAATTTAACATTTTTATTTTGCGGCTCTGAAATAATAATTTTTTTCATAATTACGTTAGACGTCAGCTGAAAACATTTGAGTCCAATAGCTACAAGTGTATGTAGTTGGGATTTAATATATGTGTATCTGCGCGATATGTATATTTGGGCAAAATACAAACAAACAGCCAAGTCTTGTGCCTGTTAGCCATAAAATGTAGTCAGACGGCTCATCAATGAAAATTAGGCACATCAAATGTTTAATGCCTGCCGAGCACTTGAATTGCTGGCAAAGGGGTAGCTCAGTCGGTCAGCTAAATATGTTTGGCAAGAATCTAAATATGATATATTTGAAAACGATATAAATGGTCAATATATATATCGTAAAAATTGAAAAATAGAAATAGATATACATATTCAATATTTTCGTTTGAAAAGAATTGTCTTGTTGAACTGAGATATTGCTAAAAAGAAATATT